GCCACTGGTATTACAGGCACATGCCACCATACCTGGTCTTTTTTTCCCCTGTATGTTTTTTAACTGAGGCATTACAATTATACACAATGGGGCTGGAGATGTGGCTCAAGCAGTAGCGCGCTAGCCTGGCATGCGTGTGGCCTGGGTTCGATCCTCAGCACCACATACAAACAAAGATGCTGTACTCGCCGATAACTAATAAATATTAAAATTCTCTCTCTCTTAAAAAAAAAAAAAACCCCAGTTATACACAATGTTACATATTCATACATGAACACAATATATTAATATAATTTGGTCAACATCATTTCCTAGTATTTCTTCTTCATATTTCTCCTTCACTTCCAACACATCTTTTTTTGGTCCACAATCAAAACTTTATTAAAAAGCACCAAAATAGGAGACTTGTACACCTTATAAAATCAAACATATTACAATATCTTGGTAAAAAAACTGGAATTACTGAACTTATAAGGCTTCTGTGAGAAAACACAAATTCTGGAACTTGCATAGATCATTAGCATTGCTTTCTTCTAAATAAACAATGTTCTGTGAGTCTGGTCTTTCCTCCTGTAGGCTGGCACAACACTGGGACTGTGGGTGCATGCCACCACCCATGGCCCTTTTTTTTTTTTTTTTGGTATTAGGGTTTGAACTCAGGGGCACTCAACCACTGAGCCACATCCCTAGCCCTCTTTTGAAATTTATTTAGAGACAGGGTCTCTCTGAGTTGCTTAATGCCTCACCATTGCTGAGGCTGGTTTTGAACTTGTGATCCTCCTGCCTCAGCCCCCTGAGCTGCTGGGAATTACAGGCATTTGCTACTGCGCCTGGCTCCAGATTCAAAAAGCTTTAAAACCATAATCAATATCCAGCTGGTAATTTTGCTGTTAGAACCTCTCTAGCTAATTCAGTATTCTTCCCTACTAAACTGAAATGTGACGTAAATCAAGATGATTTTCCATAGACAGAATAGTGTTTTGTTTTTGTTTGCTGTGGGAAAATGCAAAGAGCTGGACTAAGGAACCAAATGAACAGTGTTCATTCGAAATATTGACTCTAAGATAAATCCATACAATAAACAGGGGGCTGGACCCCCTCAAGCTAGATGCAGAGCTATCTGAAAGGCCAAGTAATGTGACCCTAAGACATGTTATCTAGGGGACAAGGTAAAAGAGATGAAAGCATGAAGGAGCATGTTTTCATGTATGTGACATGTAACAACCATCTGTAGCTAACAATCCAGGTCAATGAGACAGTAGTGTAATAAATGTATTAACAGGAGGTGCTGATAGTTTGAGAATGTTTTTCAAAGGTGGCAAGGCACTCTTCTGGCTGTTATGCACCAATGGCAGGCCCAATCCACTCATAAATTGCTGAACAAAAAGCCAGGACTCCTGTTTTCCAAGAATTTAGGACATCTTGGGGAGGTGGATGTCTTGAGAAATTGAGGTGATGCAACTTAGAGTTGGGGTGTCAGGGAAAGCCTCATGAGAAGACAGCTTTCTAAACCCGAGGGATGGACAAGCACAGTAAAGAGCCCAAGCACTGGAGTTTCTTGGAGTTAGGTCTCCAAGGATGAGCAGCATTCTGTCCCCTCTGATGGATAGAGAATCTCAATCATGCATAGACACAAAAGCCCAGGTGTGACATGAGAAACAATGTATTGCAGCCAACCAAGAGAGGATGTGGAAAGGAAAATTCCAGGGAGAGAAAGAAGGGAGGAAGACAAAATATGAGGAAGAGGGATATCCGAGGGGATTATTACTCTAAAGGAAAAAATTAAAACTCTGAGTTATATTGGGTAGAGAATAGAAGGATTCTCTAAGAATCTTTAAGAGAATATCCTTGACTCCATCCCCCCCCCTTTTTTTTTGGTACTAGGAATTCAATTTAGTACAACTCAGGGGCACTCAACCACTGAGCCACATCCCCAGCCCTATTTTGTATTTTTATTTAGAGACAGGATTTCACTGAGTTGCTCAGTGCCGAGGCTGGCTTTGAATTTGAAATCCTCCTGTCTTAGCCCCCAGAGCCGCTGAGATTACAGGCGTGCACCACAGTGCCCAGTCCAGAGTAGACCCTTTTAATGTTATAAAAGAATCAGAATATTAGAATATTATATTGTAGGAATTACTGTTTTTGTTTTCCCAAACAGTAACTTCTACAATGAAAAAAAATTTTAAAAAGAATCTCTTTGGGGTGCTGGGGATTGATTACACTGAGCAAATGCTCTGTCACTGAGCTACTCACCCTTACAATGAATTATAAATTAACAAAGCCCCCAAGTACAACTTTTCAGCAACCTGTTGCTAGAAGTCACTCTTATCGTTGGTCACTTCTCAGCAGCCAACAATATTGATGAGGCTCTCCAGAGAGTAACTGAGAGTACTTTTAATTATATGAGTAAATTTTTTTCTTTCATACAGCAAGCATCAGTTTTCCATTGTGTACACTACTGGGTATTAAACCTATGGGTAGTTTGCCGCTGAGCCACATTCCCAGGCCCTTTTTGAGAAAGGGTCCTCTTAAGTTCCTTAGGGCCTTGCTAAATTGCCAAGGCTGGCTTTGAACTTGCAATCCTGCTGCTCCAACCTCCTAAACCACTGGGATTACAGGGGTCTGCCACCACACCTAGCACATATAAATTGCCTACTGAGACTACAATTCTGTGTTTTTAGCATATTCAGAATTGTGCAACTACCACCCCCAAAATAAACCCAGCAATCATGTCACTTCATCATCCCAGGGGAACCACTATTTTCTGCCTTTACACTTCTACCACAACTGAATAATATTCCACTGTATTGATATGCCTCATTTGTTTACCACTCATCAGTTGATGGACATTTTGTCTGATTCCACTTTGGGGCTATTATTATTTGATGGTGCTGTGAACATGCTACAAGGTTTTGTTTTGTATGGACACATTTCAATTTCTCTTGGATAACACACCTAGGAGTCATATGGTAACTATGTTTAAACTTTTGAGGAACTCCAGGATTTTTTCCCAAGGTGGCTGTACTGTTTTTCACTCCCACCAGCTATATATGAATACATAAAGGGGCATATGATACCTTGGGGACGGGACTTAAGTGTAAACACATAACTCATTTGTTTCATATACCTCATATATATCCTGAAGCAATTCTAGGTAATATTTTTAGTGCACTTATTTTTTTTTTTTTGGGGGGGCGGGGGTACCAGGGATTGAACTCAAGGGCACTCAACTACTAAGCCACATCCCCAGCCCTATTTTGTATTTTATTTAGAGTCAGGGTCTTGCTGAATCATTTAGTACCTTGCTTTTTCTGAGGCTGACTTTGAACTCACAATCCTCCTGTCTTAGCCTCCTGAGCTGCTGGAATTACAGGTGTGCACCATTGCACCAGGCCTAGTGTACTTGTTATTTTTGCTGTGACTCATCACATTAAGTTAAAGTGTGGAATTTTCCACTTAGAGTGTCAGAAGGTACTCAGAGTTTTGGATTTTTGAATTTCTAATTAGAATGCTCCACTGGCATTAAGGGTTGCATTGACTTAATAAAGATCATAGAATTTATTTTTTTTGTGGTGCTAGGGATTAAACCCAGGGCCTAGTGTATGTGAGGCAAGCACTCTACCAACTGAGCTATATCCTCAGCACGAAGTTCAATTTTTATTTAAAAACATCATAATAATTCCAATGGTGTGTTAGGCTTTGTTTATTTATTTTTAGTGGTACTGGGGATTGAACCCAGGTATGCTTTCTCCAGCTCTCCCCCTTCTTAAATTTTGAGACAGAGCTCATTAAGTTTCAGAGGCTGGCCTTGAACTTGAGATACTCCTGCCTCAGTCTCCCAAGTAGCTGGCTTAATAGGTGTGTGCCACTATGCCTGGCTGGTGTGTAACTTTTAATATATGCAATGATGAAGTATAAAGTAGAAGTGTTGTATTAAGGACAGTGTAGTATGTGATGTTTTCCAAATTTTGTTTTCAAGCAAGGAAGTACTGAGTCATGTTGTAATAAGAGAATAAGCCTGGTCAACTAGATAAATCTGAGAGATTGGTTGCTTTACATGGCTGAGTCAGTGAAGATTTCAAATGTGGCTCCCAAGGACACTTAGCTGTGTCTACTTATCTCTGTAAGGTCACTACAGCCCAAACATTACCCTCAAAGTTTTAAATATATTTTTAAGGGACTGGGTTGTAGCTCAGTAGTAAAGTGCCTGTTTGAGACACTGGATTCAATTCTCAGCATCACATATAAATAAATAAAATAAAGGTCCATCAAAAAAATTTTAAGTATCTTAATGCATAATTAATCTCTGAATCTGAATGACAGTGATAAATATAGCCTAAAGTGAGTAACTCTCCTTTTTCCCTCATCCTCTTTGTCTCCTTCCTTCCTCCCTTCTCTCCCCCTTTCTTTTTCTTGTACTGGCGATTGAACCAAGGGCATTTTACTACTGAGCCCTAGTAACCCCCACTTTTAAGTTGTAGTTGGACACAATACCTTATTTATTTATTTATTCTTATGTGGTGCTGAGGATCCAACCCAGTGCCTCACAAGTGCAAGGCAAGGCTCTACCACTGAGCCACAATCTCAGCCCCAAACTACTGCCCTCTTTAGTATTTTCAGATAGGGTCTGGCTAAATTGTCCAGGCTAGCATCAAATTTGCAATATTTCTGCCTTCCTCCCTGAGTAACTGGGATTACAGGCTTGCACCGCAGCGCCAGGCAATTTTTACTATTTTGCGCTGTGTTGGCAGGCTGGCTTCCAAATCCTCCCCCTCAGCCTTGGAGTAGGTGGGACTACAGGCGCACAGCACCATGTCCTCCTCCTCTCACTTTTTTGGTATTCCCTGGATAAGACCTGAATTTTCAGTAAAAGTTTTTACCTGGTGTGACAAATGTTTTTTCCCCTTGAATTCTATGAGGGCGTTTACTCCTCAAGAGTTATTATTTTAGTGCAACATGCCAAGAAACCTAAGTACAAAACGATGGTGGTTTAACCTTACCTGAGCGTGCGCCTGTCCTTGCCTATCTATAGTATACACAAATAACTATGCTCACGGGGTCTCGTAGCAAACAGTGCCAGATTCCACTGGAGCCTTTTGGACAAAGTCAATTACTGCCGGGAGCGGTGGCGCAGGTAATCCCAGCCATTCCAGAGACTGAACCAGGAGAACGTCCGAGTTTGAGGCCAACCTCACAATTTAGATCGTCTTAAAATAAAAAATAGAAAAGTCTCAGTGGCAAAGCGCCGCTGGGTTAAATTCTTAGTAACCCCCCAGAACCTTTAATTTTATTGAGGTCTTAATAATCTATTGAACAAGTGAGTGCAGCACAGATTCGGCGTCAGGTTGCTGAGCGCCGCCCAGCGCGCCGCTGCGCCAGACACCTGGCAGAGGCGCCCGCGGGAGTCCGTGGTGACAGCACGACTCACTTCCTCGCGGTCAGCGACGCCAGCTGTAGACGGGACTTGACAAGTGCGCTGCCGGCACCGGAGCCGTACTTTCTCCCCACCCCCCTTAAAGGGAAGCGTAAAACTCCATCCTACCGTACCTTCTCGGCGACCGACTCCCGGCAGCGCGGGGCGGCCGCCCTCAGCGCTCGGCCTGGACTGCAGCCGAGGCCTAGGAGCCCGAGGGAACCACACGCGCGGAACCCTAACGGGACCCTCCGACAGGGCTGGCGCAGCGGCAGCCGCAACTAGTTCTCCCAACCCCGCCGCCCACCGCGGGAGTGCGAGCTACCCGGAGCCGGCCCCACCTGAACTGTAGCGAGCCGCGCCCGAGGAAGGGGAGGAGCCTGCGGCGCCCCGGCAGTCCAGGTAAGCACGCGTGCGCAGTCCGGCCGTAAACAAGCCCGCCCCTTTCACTCGGCACGCCTTCCCGAGGCAGGCTCGCTGGTGGGCGGGGCCGGGAGAAAGGGGCGGGGGGAAAGAGCGAGCGCCGGGGACGGCGCCTGCGCGGTGGGCGTGATCCGGGCACTTAGGGCAGGATGAACGCTGCTTTCCAAGATGGCGACGGAGGGAGGAGGGAAGGAGATGAACGAGATTAAGACCCAATTCACCACCCGGGAAGGTCTGTACAAGCTGCTACCACACTCGGAGTACAGCCGGCCCAACCGGGTGCCCTTCAACTCGCAGGGATCCAACCCTGTCCGCGTCTCCTTCGTCAACCTCAACGACCAGTCTGGCAACGGCGACCGCCTCTGCTTCAATGTGGGCCGGGAGCTCTACTTCTATATCTACAAGGGGGTCCGCAAGGTACCGACCCGGGCGTCGCCGGGGTCCGCCAGTCGCGGAGGCAGCGGCCGAGGGCAGGGCGGTGACAGCAGGGC